CACGTCCCCTGGTACTCACCCTGGGCCGCGCACGTGCCTCGGGCCATGCTTTGCCCCCCCCCCCCCTGGACTTCCGAGGGTCAGGTCCCCGATTTGGCGTCGATTTGGCGTCGTTTTAGCGTCATTTTGGCGTCGATTAGCGTCGGTTGGCGTCGATTCGCAAGAGCCAGCAAGATGGCATGGGAGGCTCCCATGGGTTGCCGCAGAACCAGAGCTGCCCCCCCCCCTCGAGCGGTGCGATGAAGCCCTCGGCGATGCGATGACGCCCTCGGACGGGATTCCCTCGAGCGATGAAGCCTGCGGCGATGCGATGAGGCCCTGCGAGGGTCTGCCCCCCCCCCCTCGAGCGATGCGATGAAGCCGTCGGCAGGAGATTCCGGCTCCTCGGTCGGGCCCCCGGGGGCCTGAGCAGTGGGCCCCCGAGGGGCGGTGGCAGGCTGCGAGCAGCCCGAGGCGCTAGGTTTCTCGGGAGGGGCCGACGCTCCCGAGGGCCTCGGAGGGGCCAGGCCGGTCGTCCCTGGACCCTGTGACCCATAAAGACACTGGTGTTTGAGGGCAGGAGGGTTCCGTGAGGTACCATGCCTGGACTGCACATCGGTTGCAGATTACATGCGTGAGAATATGTACAGAGGCGCTCCAGCGTCAGATGGGAATGTATAGAAATCTGATCATTCATGGAGGACGACCTGGGAGAGCAGCGGCAGCAGGGGGCAGAGGAGGGAATGACACTCAGGGGCCAGGATGAGCCCTGAGCTGGGGACCAGGACTCCAGAGGAACGTTTTTTGTTTGTTTGTTTGTTTGTTTCCCCCCCCAAAGCCATCCTGTGGTGTTGGGTCTTCGTTTGGAAGAGACGGCGCCCCGCGTTCTCCTCTCCTCTCCTCCTCCTCCTCCTCCTCCTCCTCCTCCTCCTCCTCCTCCTCCTCCTCTCTTCTTCTTCTTCTTCTTCTTCGTCTTCTTCTTCTTCTTCCAACTCCTCCTCCTCCTCCTCCTCTTCCTCCTCCTCCTGCTCCTCCTCCTCCCTCTTCCCTACTCCTTACACCCCTCACACGATTCGCGGCCCAATAGGAAGCTCCACCGAAGGCCCCAATGGGACAGTGTACATGCGTCCCCGCCATACATTTTGGCACACCCCTCACGTGGTTCGTGGTTCCATATGGAGCTTCACCGAACGGCCCCAGTGGGACAGTGTACATGCGTCCCCGCCACCCATTACGGCACACCCCTCATTCGGTTCGTGGCCCCATAGAGAGCTCCACCGAAGGCCCCAGTGGCACAGTTTACATGCGTCCACGCCACCCATTCGGCACACGCCTCACATGGTTCGTGGCTCCACATGGAGCTCCACCGGGGCCCCAGTGGCACAGTATACATGCGTCCCCGCCATCCATTTCGGGACACGCCTCACGCGGTTCGTGGCCTTATATGGAGCTCCACCGAAGGCCCCAATGGCAGGGTCCGCATGGCCCCGCCGCCCCATTTCGGCACACCCTTCACACGGTTCGTGGCCCCATAGGGAGCTCCACCGAAAGGCCCCAGTGACAGGGTCCGCATGGCACTGCCGTCCGATTTCGGCACACTCCACACACGGTTCGTGGCCCCATAAGGAGCTCCACCGAAGGCCCCAGTGACAAGGTCCGCATGGCCTCGCCGCCCCATTTCGGCACACCCCTCACACGGTTCGTGGCTCCACGGGGAACGCCACCGAAACCCCCAGTGACAGGGTCCGCATGGCACCGCCGCCCAATTTCAGCAAACCCCTCACGCTGTTCGTGGCTCCTGAAGGATATCCACCGAAGGCCCCACTGGCAGGGTCCGCATGGCACCGCCGCCCCATGTCAGCACACCCCTCACACTGTTCGTGGCCCCATAGGGAGCTCCACCGAAATCGGTACCCACAACGAGGTAATCACATTTGCGTATGGTTGGGTCCTTTGCGAGGACAATTTTTTCGGGGGGAGGATGGGGGCGGGGATAGGTCAGAGCAGACTTCAAACTAGATGTGTTTTTCGGAATCCGATCTGATATTGCAATCGTATAGTCTTCACATGTTCGGATGTCGGATCGGTCATCAAACGCTACGGATATGAAGACATCGGGGACCTCAGGCAACCAATTTCTTCAAAGTGGATGTGCCAAATCAGTGGTGCAAACTACGTGGTGTAAGCCATGTGGTGCAATCGTTTTGCCAACAATGTGGTGAAATGTGTGCGGTGCAAGCAGTGTGGTACAAACTATGCAGTGCAAGCTAAGTCGTGTAGGTGTAAGATTTGCGGTGTACGGCACGGGGTGTACGGTATGCTGTGTAATATGTATGGTGCAGTGTATGTGGCGTGAGCAATGTGGTGCAAGCTGTGTAGTGTAAGCTGTCAGGTGAAAACCACGGGCTGCCATTATGCGGTTGCCCACCGCACGAAGCGCCATTGTCGGCGCCCACGGGCGCCGACGGGCGTGCGCCAGGCGACACCTCGGCTGACCACCCCAGCGCACGAGGCAACCACGAGGCGCACACGAGGCGCCCATTGGCGCCCATGGGCCGGCACAAGGCGGGCACCATGCGAAATTGTTGACGCTTCGCGAATCCCCACCAGCTAGCATGTGCATACGCTACTGCGGCCAATTATCTTCGTTCCGCGCCCCGGACGTTATCCCGCTTCCTGACCTTCGCCAGGGAGCCGCCGACCAAAAAAAAAGAATCCCCACCAGCATACCCCTGCCGTCAGCTCCCCTTCAGCTTCGCGGCTGCTTTGTGAGCGGGCCGGCCGGCCTGTGCCTGTTGTAGCCAATTCGCCTCGTTCGTGCCCCGGACTTTGCTTCTTGCCGCCTGACCTTTGTCTCGCGGCCGCGACCGAAAAAAAGAATTCCCACCAGCCTTGTCGCAGCCCGGCTAGTGATCGGACGGCTTTCGACTTGCTTCGCGAGCCCGCAGACCAAAAAGAATCCCCACCAGCCCTTCCAGAATCGATGCCCAGAGGAATTGCCTCGATCAGGGAGGTGGGCAGCACACAGAGGAAGCCCTTATGAGACATCTTGGGATATCTGGAGCCATCTTGGAGGTCATCTTGGGCTCTCCCAGGCGCTCGTGGAGTCATCTTAATCAGTGCCCCCCCAAGAGGCCAACATGTGGCTAAAACTTTGGTGAAATCAATGATTTGGCATTCTCGCCAAGGCCTCTTGGAGCATCTTGGGTGCCTCTTGGAAGGTCTCTGGGGGCCTCTTGGGGGTCTCTCGGGAGCCTCTTGGGGGCATCCTGGGGGCCTCTCGGGGCTTCCTGGCCACCTCTTCGGGCCCTCTTGGGGCACCCTTGGGGCACCCTTGGGGGCCATCTTTTGGCCATCTTGGGTGAGATCGATCACAGGAAGGGGTTCCTAATGACAGCCCTCCCCTCAGGAGGCCCAAATGGGGCCCAAACCCCAGTAAAACCAATGATTTTGGCTTCCTCACCGAGGCCGATTTGGACGCTCCGACACCTCGCGAAACCCCCTGTCCAGGTCCATGGGGAGGGGGTATGGGGAGGGGTAAACCCCTCCCCGACGGAGAAGAAGGATGGGTGGAAGAGGAAGCGCTCTGAGCCACCGACGCCCAGAGGGCTGGTGGGACGTCGGCTGAGTTGCCCAGCGCGCGAGGCGCCCACGAGGCGCCTGCGGGCGGGCACCCAAGGCGAAACCTCGGCTGGCCTGCCCGGCGCGCGAGGCGCCCGCGAGGCGCCTGCGGGCGGGCACCCAAGGCACTTCGGCTGACCTCTACCCAGCGCGCGAGGCGCCCACGGGGGCGCCCACGGGGTGCCCACTCGGTGCCCACGGGGCGCCCACGGGCGTCCACGGGCGGGCACCCAAGGCGAGGCTTCGGCGGGCGTGCCCGGCGCGCGAGGCGCCCGCGGGGCGCCCACGAGCGCCCGCGGGTGGGCACCAGCCGACACCTGGGCTGACCCGTCCGATCGTCATGCGTGAGCGAAGGCAGGGCGCGCGTTTTGGGGAACCTCCAACGCGTAAGGTTTTGTTTTTTTTGGAAGCCGCATACATTCAGAGTAGAGCACGTTTCAACAGTACAAATCGGTTCTCCATCTTCCCGGACATCAGCGGGTCGAAAAAATCGAGACGGCTGGTCAGCGGGTCGAAAAAATCGTGACGGCTGGCCAGTCGCAATCTTTGGCCTTTGCAGGCCGGCTTCGGGCCGCGGGTCCGTCGAAAACCAGCCTTGTGGGAAAGTGGTCGAGAGGTCCCGGGGCCCGTGTCTCGAGGCAGGTCGAAGCGCCGGATGTCTGGGTCTGGCCGCGACGCCGTGGGCACGAGGGGGTCTCACGTCTCGCGGCTTGGCGCAAGTCTCCCACCGTGCTGCAGGCCTAGGGAGAACTTGACGAGCATTTGTGCCGCACTCATCTGTCAATGCCTTTTCCCCCTGAGGATCAGAGCTGGCAGTGGGTTTCAGGAATCGCAGTTCGACTGCAGTCTTCCCCGCGCTTGCCACTCGTTTCCGTCTGCCATGCCACTCGTTTCCGTCTGCCATGCCACTGCTTCTCTGCAGCCTCACAGGCCCGCCAGCCACGCGGCGCTCTTGGCGGCGGCGGCACGCGTCTGCGAGTGCCCCGAGGCCCGCGAGGGGGAAGCTGCCAACTCTGGCCTGGTTAGTTCAGGCGATCGCATGGATCACGGGGGCATGTATTAGTGACGGGTTCCGTTTCCATTGGAAATCGCAGATTTCCGCCGCCGAGCGAGGCGGCACTGGCCGCATTTTGGGGAGGGCACCTCACCCGATCCATGGACTTGGTGTCCGCGCGCCAAATCCGTGGATCGCCAATCCATGTTTGCGCGCCCCCGATTGGTGCTGTGAGCGCTCCTGGGCTGTCCTTCGCAGGAGTGCGTGCGGGGTCGCCCCAGAGCTGCGCCGCCCCGCCTCTCGCCGTCCCGCCGCGCCCTCGTGCGGCCGCTTGCCCTGCCCCACCGCTCCCTGGCTCGCTGCCCGTGGAAGTCTGTGCCTTGGCACGCGCGTGCGGCATCTTCACGGTCTGAACGTGCTCCGCCGCCCGCGGCTTCCCCTTTTCCCCCCCCCCGGCCCCTTTCTTCTTTCCCTTCTGCCCACTGCGGCTCCGGAGCACCCCTCGGCTGTCTCTATGTCGCTTCTTGGACTCAGGTCGCCGCTGGACCAAACATTCTGTGAGCGCGCGCTGTGGCGCTTGCACTACGTGGCGAAGTGATCTGGCACGCGGCACGCTCAAGCAGTAAGCGCCATAATGAATGACTGTGCGAGCACTCGTATTTAACCAAGGGTGAAGAGAACCAACGTTCTGTCGGAGAAAACTGGATGGCATTGAAATCTGTGGTCCGTTTGGGTCTTCCCATGTTTCTGTCTGATTCGCTAAGTCGCATCTCGTCACTGTGCTGTGGATTACCAATTACCATGCAATGAAGGTGTTGTGTAATGTTGTCGTGTGGGACTGTACATGTATTGCGTCAGTCTAGCAGGTTCACCACGCCCTGGTGCGTCGAAACTTGCGGCTTCACTGGGCGGTGGGGGTGCAGCCGAAGCGAAATGGAGCGCCTCCCAACCCGGAACTTCGATTTCCGTTTCGGTCCAGTTCGTGATGTGCCTTGCTTGCGGGCGAGGCGGCGCTGCGCGTGTGGGCGCAGGAAGGGGGACTGGATGCGCGAAGTGCCGGCGCCGCAGGCCTCACAGACGACAGCGAGCAGAGTGTCGTAAAAAGGACAGCTTTCTAAATTATTTTCCTCTGGGGGGTTGCCGCGCCATGGCCTCTCGGGGGCCTCCGAGCGAGGCCCCAGGGACGCTTGGAACCGTCGGCCGCTTCGGGAAGGGCTCCCAGACATGCTCGCGCCGTGAGCAAAATCGGCTTCACGCACAGTGTGGACCCATGCCAAGAAACACCCTGCTGGCCTCCAGGGTGCCCTGGGTTTCTTGGGTTTCGATGGTTTTTCTTTGGAAAGCGTGACGTTCCCACATCAATAATCAACGGACGTCCTGGGGTCTCAGGGCTGGGTTTCTTGCGGAACGTTTCTCGTGGACTGGCCTCCACTCTAAGAGTGATCCTTCTCTCGGCCTCCTGGAGGCGGGCGGGCATCGCCGACCGCGGCCAGAAGCTCGCTCGCCGAGTGTGGTCCGTGCGCTCTCTGGGCGTTTTGGGGCGCGAGCCCTCCCCGGGGAGTCGAGGGCAGGGCTCCGGCAGCTGCGGGCGTGGCTGCCTCCCAGCGGTGCGGCTGCACGCCGGCGACGTGGAGCTCGTCGTCGTCGTCGTCGTCGTCGTCGTCGCCGTCGCCGCCGCCGCCGCCGCCGTCGTCGTCGTCGTCGTCGTCGTCGTCGTCGTCGTCGTCGTCGTCGTCGTCGTCGTCGTCGTCGTGGGCCGCAGAGACTTCACAGGCCGAGGCGCTCGCCCGATGCGCTCGGCAGGAGCACGGCGCCAGGCCCGCGCCCCCAGGCGTCGGCCGGCACCTGACTCTGGAGGTAGGAAAGGGGTGTGGTGTAAGGGGGCGTGGTGCCACCGCTGAGTCTGGCGGTGTTTTTTTTTATCGTGGATAACATTACGTTTCCGCGATTGGCACCGCACTCTTTACGCCACACCCCTTTCCGACCTCCAAGCTTGCGACAGCGTGCGCGCCGCTCGGGGTCGGACAGGCTCTCGAGCGCGGCCGCGGCCGCTCGAGAGGCCCCAGAGCTGCCGCCTCTGTCTGGGAGCGTGGCCAGGGCGGCTCGCCCGTGCGCCGAGCGGATGACCGCGTCGCTGGCGTCCGCCGGCCCTCCCCCCCCGGCAGATCGAGGAACGAAGCATGACATGAACACAACAAAAACCTCCTGCCTCCTCCTCCTCCTCCTCCTCCTCCTCCTCCTCCTCCCTCCTCCCTCCTCCCTCCTCCCCTCCTCCCCCTCCTCATCCTCCTCTTCCTCCTCCTCTGCCACGCTCGCAGGCCGGCCTGTTGAGCAAGGCTGCCGCACGGTCGCGGCGATGTTTCTGCCTTGGCCTGGTGCGTCGTCGTCCTCGTCCGTGGTGCGGGATAGCCCTCTCGAGGGGAGCGGTTTCTCCCTCTCTCCTGCTTTGCTTTGCTGCTGGAGAAATAAAAATTGTCGGAGGTCCTCGCAGCTCGCTGGGATCGGCGCTGGACCACCCCTCCCTGGCGCGCGGGGCGCCCCAGGGGCGGCGCCGCAGGCGCCGCCGGTGGGCTCCAGCGCCGATCCGAGAAATCCGCGCGGACCGAACGTTGAACGTTCATGTTCATGTAGTTTTTAGTCGGGCATGTCCTTCTACAGGAGGATTTTTAAAGAATAATAACAATAGTCAGGTGGCGATTTTTCGGGCTCTCATTATCGCGCGAGAGGTATTTTTTGTGTATTTTTTGTCTGTCTTTCAAAATCCGTCTCTAGGAGGACATGCCCGACCTAAATGTTGTTTTTTGCTTCTCGATTCGACCCCTGGACTGTATTCGGAGGGCGTCCATCATACACCTGTACCGAACCTGGCTGGGCCAGTCCTGGGCCCAGGACTGGAGTATTTTAGCCTTCCTCGCCAAGCCAGGAGGGCGTATACCCCGACCCTGGCCCAGGATGAGCCTGGCCAGGATTGCGGCGCTCGCATGCGCCCGCCCCGCACATTTCGGCACACACACACACACCTCACACTATTCGTGGTCATATCGGGAGCTCCACCGAAGGCCCCAGAGGCGTCGTTCGCATGCGTTCCCGCCGCACATGTCGGTACACCCCTCATATGTTCCGTGGTCCCATAGGGAGCTCCACCGAAGAGCCCCAGTGGTGGCGTTCGCATGCGTCCGCGCCGCGTATTTCAGCACACCCCGCACACGTTTCGTGGCCCCAATAGGGAGCACCACCGAAGTCGCATGCGTCCGCTCCACACATTTAAGCACACCTCTGACGCGGTTCGTGCCCCCAGAAGGAGCTCCACCAAAGGCCCTAGTGGCAGCGTTCGCGTGCGTCCGCGGCACACATTTCGGCAGTCCCCTCACACGTTTCGTGGTCTCACACGGAGCTGCACCGACGAGTCCCATTGGCACATCTCTTCTGCGTCCGTGCCGCACATTTCATCATAATCTTCACACCATTCGTGGTCCAATGGGGAGCTCCACCGAATGCCCCAGTGGCACCGTTCGCTTGCGTGTCTCCTGCCCAGTACGGCATACCTTTCACACGGTTCGTGGCCCCATAGGGAGCTTTACCGAAAGTCCCAGTTGCGACCTTCGCATGCGTCTTCCCCCACCCATTTCGGCGTACCCCTCAGATGTTTTGTGGCCCCACATGGAGCTCCATCGAATGCACCAGTGGCCGGGTTCCCATGCGCCTCCCAGCCCATTTCGGCACACCCCTCACAACAAGTTTTGTGGCCCCCCATGGAGCCAATTGCTTTACTCGCACTGGCACATGGCTGGGTCTTTCGCCAGGATATGTTTTCCAATCCGAGCGTTTTAGATCCTTCCAAAATGGCGCTCCCGCTGCAGCCTGGCCTCATTTGCGTATTGCCAGTCCTTCGGAACGGTGGTCCCTCTGCATCGTTGGCCTCATTTTAGTATCTGCACTTTGCTCCCGTCGTTCAGAATGGCGCTCTATCATCAGCAGAGCCACTTTTCTAGATCCTTTTTGGTCCTCCAGGTCCGCTATGACACGCGTCGTCGGATCGATAATAGTCTGCGCAATTGGAAGGGACGGGGTGGGAGGGGTAGGAATTCAGATATGGCGCGGTCGCACCTAGCTTATCCTTCTCCCCTCCTCCTCCGCCCACGCCCCTCTCCCTCCTCTCCTCCTCCTCCTCCTCCTCCTCCTCCTCCTCCTCCTCCTCCTACTCCTCCTCCTCCCCCTCCTACCTGCTCCTCCTCCCCTCTTCTTCCTCTTCCTCCTCCCCCTCCTCTTCCTCCTCCTGTGCACATCTGCCTGTCGCGCCGCCGCCCTCGTCTTCGCCTCTCTCTCGTGCACGCTGGACAATTTTGCCTATCGTTTGCCTCGATTAGCTCCACGCCGGTTCGGATTGCCTTCGCCTCGCCGCCGACGGTAAAAGTGTACAGGTGGGGCCATCAATGATGGTCGAACCGGTTTCACCCTGACAGTCATTCGCCAAAGAATCGTTCTTCCCGGCGACAGCGGGGCTAAACGGTAATGGTACATTCTGGGTCTCGTGGCTCATGATGGAGCCGTTCAGCTGCTGTTCGGACGTACAGGAACAGGGCAGAGGAGCAAAGGAAAAGAGACCGACTACGACTCGAACCTCTCTCTCAGCCTTCTCCCTGAGCGCATGCGCACCACGCGTGTCTCTGTTTGGTCCTTAAAACAGCTGCGGAGCGGCGTCGGCGGGTGGCGGCAAGCATGAAGAGCGAGCGGGGAGGGAGCAGTCACTACTCTGACGGCTCCCGCGATACAGGGAAGGGTCATGGACCATAGCAGGTGAGTTCCTCGAAGTCGTCGGGGAAGAAGCAGGCCTCCTAGCCGACCCCTCCTGATTCTGCGCGTGTGCCAGGCCACGGGGAAGTACGCTGGGGGGCGCCCGATGATCATCTTTCTCCTTCCTCCCTCCTCCTCCTCGTCCTTCTCCCTTCCTCCGCCTCGTCGTCGTCGCCGTCGTCGTCGTCGTTGTCGTCGTCGTCGTCGTCGTCGTCGTCGTCGTCGTCATCGTCGTCCTCGCCCGCGTCCTCGTCCTCGTCCCCGTCGTCGCCCTCGTCCTCCTCGCCCCCCCTCCCCGCGGCAGAGGCCGGCGGCTCACGCCCGCCGCCGCTGCTGCTGGCGCACCACTCCTGGGGCACGGCGCTGCCCTCGATGCTGGACCGACCCCACGGGGGCCCGGGGCGAGGCGGGCGAGGCGGGCGAGAGGAGGGAGGAGGGACCAGTGTAAACCCCACACCCATCAACGATGTTGCAATAGAGCCTCCCTCCAAGTTCCTTCTCCACAGGCCCCATGCACGGGTTCATGTTCACTGAAGACAGGGCCCCCGTCGGAAAACTACCGTTTGAAAATCCTGCGCTATGCCAGAACACCCTTCCTGGGATTTCAACGCCGCGATTCACCGTTACTGATGCGTCTTGACGATCCTGAACCGTGCCAGAACACCATTCCTGGGACTTCAGCACCACGAATTAACGTAACTATTGCGCCCTGTCATTCCGACATCGTGCCAAAGCACATCTCTTGGATGTTCACCACGAGAATCCTTGAAACTCTTGTGAGCTCTTCAAACTAACGTGCGCGGCGCTGAGGCGATAACCACATTTTGAAAAGGAGCCGCTTTCATATGAGAAACTCTTACACATGTAAGACGGATGTGCGCGGTGCTGAGGCGAGAGCAACATTTTGAAAACGACCCGCCCTTCATCCGTGAAACTCTTGCAATTGTTTCAGACGGATGTGCGCGTCGCTACGCCGAGAGCCACATGCTGAAAATTCGTGCACATTTTCCAGGCGACTGCGCGCGGCGCCAACGCGATTGCCACATTTTGAAAACGACGAGAGTGGGGAATTGGCGGCGAGCTCGGGTGGAAGCAGGGTCAATTTCGCTCCGATCGATCCGATTCGACATCGATCTCGGCTGGCCCGGTCGTAGTCGATTCCGATGTTTTGGCGATGCGATGCGGCCCGATGCTTCCATGGTGCGGTTGTGCATCCTGTCGCGTCTGATCCGATTCGATTTCGACTCCGTGCCGATGCAGCCCGATCCGACGCAGATCCCGATTCGACGCCGACTGAGCCTTGGGGGAAGTGAGAGGGGGAAGACCTCAGAAGGCGGCGGGGCTTCTCAGAAGCCCTCGCGCCTTTGAGAAGCCGCCCTGGTCTGCGGTGGAGGCTAAGAAGGCTCCTCAGAAGGCGCGGGGGGCTTCTGGGAAGCCCCGCCGCCTCACGAGAAAGCTTGGCCCCTCTCACTTCCCCCCCGGGGCTCGCCACCGAGGTGTGCAGTCAAGACGCTGGGAGAAGGACCGCTTTGGGCTCGGGAGGGGCTCGGGTTTTCGGGCCCCTGCGTGGATCTGGGTCGGGGAACCTGTTCGTGGCCGAGGCTCGCCGTGGCCAGAAGAAGCCCCTTCTGTTCCTCATTCAGCGTCCCGCGCAAAGATGGATCAAGGCGCGTGGACTAGCGTCGGGTCCCGCTTCCGTGCAGAATCGGCGCGCTTCGTCACCAGATCAGGCAGCGTTGGCTTCATGTCTCGGGAGTACGTGCTTTCCCCGATCCCTGGATCAAACGCCCACTCGCCAGATCCACGGCTGCCGCATCCATATTAGCAAGTGGCCGAGCGAGGGGGATACAGGGAAACGGGTGCTGTACAACGCCATCACGCAGTCCATTCCGATCCGATCCGATCCGAGCCGATGCTTTCTCTGGCCAGGCCCCATTCGATTCGGTTCCGATCTATTCCGCCGATCCGATGCGGCTGATGCTTGCGTGCCGCTGTTGTGCAACCTGGTGCGGCCGATCCGCTGCGATTCCGACTCCGTCCGGAGGCCTAGAGGTTGACACCAACACCAATATCGGCGATGTGCCTCCACCGAGGGAAGGTGCTCCCGATCTCGGTGATGGTGGTAATATCTTGGCTTCCTAGGTGGCCGAATTATTACCACCCGACACCGAATTCTATGATCATTTTCCTCCGGTTGAGGCATGCCCGTGTGTTGGTGTTGGTGCCCATTTCCAGGCCTGTTGTGCAACATGGTGCGGCTGATTCGCTGCGATTCCGACTCCGTCCCGATCCGATCTGAGCATCGGAAGAGGTCTGATCGTCTTGAAAGGAAGCAGGCGCAGGGTTTTCGTCGTCTTTGGCCTCTGGGGGGCTCTCGCAGGGCCTCGGGACCATCAAGGACCGGCTCAGTATGAAAAGCCAGCCCCGGGCACAGGGCCATGACTCAGACATCCTGCTTGTCGAGGTTCGAAGTTCGAGGTCTCCTGACGTTCTCGTCGGTTCCCATTGGTTTTCCAGCTTCCAGGTGCTTTCCAGCAGCTGCGCCTCGCCGAGAGCGTTCCAGGGGGTGCCCGAATCGTCCACGAACGGCCGCCAGAGACCCAGACGATATGCTGGAGGCAGCAAAGCCCCCCCCCCCCCCCAGCCAGGACCCCCACTCCCGACCTGGTGACCCAGGAGGTCCTGGCTGGGGGTGGTGGTGGTGGCTTCTCGGGGCTCTTGCGGGCCAACGGCCACGCCCACCCCCAGACTGGACCCCCCTGGATCACCGGGTCGGGAGTGGGGGCCCTGGCTGGGGGCTGGGGGGTGGGCTGTGCTGTCCGCATCTGCTGCGCAACGCCCTCCCTCCGCGGCGCACCGCGCGGCGCGCGCACTTCGGGGCCGACCGACGGGGAGAGTGCCGCCCCTGCAGCGCAGACAGGACCGGACCCCGAGCCGCCGGGCGGCGCGGTGGGCTCGGGCTCCTCGGGCTGGGTGTGGCAAGCCGAGGCCCCCCAGCGAGAAGTCCGGGCCCGGCCCCCGGGGTCGCCAGGTGGGCCGGGTCCAGCCTGGATCGGGTGACAGTGGAAGAGCGGGCACTGGGAAGGGCCCGCCCGAGAGGGATCGGCGGCGCCCCCGCCCCCCCCGGAGCAAGCCAGTGAAGCAGCATGCGCGGTGTTTTCCTTCGGGTGCCCCTCCTGGGGAGCTGCCATCGGATTCCACCCAACACTCGTTTTTCTCGATCCACTGTCCTTGTTCACTCCTGTAGTTTGGGAGCAGGATTTCTGAATGGGTCTCCTTGCGAAGTGTTGACTACGGACTTCCGGCCCATGCCGCCACCGTGCCGGTTCGTGGATCTCAGGTCTTTTGGATGTCTCTCGTTGGCCTGCTGCAGGCCTCTCACCAGCTCGTCGGGGGCCTCCTGAGGCCTCCAGATGCCACCTTGGCTTCTGCTGGAAATCGGGCCCCTCAAGAGCGCCTCCGAGGCTTCGGGGGCCATGCGGGGACCCCCGAGAGCGCGCGAGACCGCGCTGGAGCGCCTGGCAATTGGGAGCTTTAGGCCCTCGAGGAGCAGCATGTCACCAGCGTGGCGCAACGAGCGCTGCACGACTGTGAAGCAGGCGCACGTGCTGCTTCCATGAGCGTGGCATGCGCGCGTGTAGCACTTTGCCGATTGCCGCAGCCTGCGCCCATAATGGGCCCGCTTTCGGGCGCGCAGGCCGTACCTTGACATTGACGTTCAGCGTTGATGATTATCAGGGACCTGAGGGCGCTCGACCAGTACCCACGGCACGGTTTCGGATTTGCGATGAGTTCACGTGCAGAATATTTGCCCACCATCTTCGATCGTTCTCACTCTCACAACGAGAGGTTGGCATTCAGCTGCATCGTGCGAGCCCGACAGCGCAAGGACATTGAGGGAAAATCTCGACTGCCGCGCGCCAGAGCAGCGTCAGTGTCAAGCGCCGGCAAGGTAGAGCGTGCCATGCAAGATGAGGCGTTCTCCGTTTGTCGTCGTTCGCTCCTCCTGTCACGATCCGACATTCTGCCCCGCCTCGGTCATGCAGGGCAGGGCAGGGCCTGCCAGACGGCCCGCTCGAGCACCTGCGGAAGACCGCGCACGACGGGGGCTGGTCCTTCGAGGAGGTTTGGAGGGGGGTTGGGGAGCCTGCCACCGCCACCTCCTCGCTCCTCCTCCCTCCTCTCTCCTATTCCCTCCTCCCTCCTCCCTCATCCTCCTCCTTCCTCCTTCTCCTCCCTCTTCTCTCCTCCTCCTCCTCCTCCTCCTCCTCCTCCTCCTCCTCCTCCTCCCTGCCTCGAGAGGCGCCGGCCACCCCCTGGTGTCGGCAAACCGCGCGATCACCAGGACAAGGTCGCAGCAATTGCTGGCCGGTTGGTCGCGGGCCGCGTGGTCTGTCGGCTCAGTTGAGTGTTCGACCTGGGGCGATCACTTCAGCTGTGCAGTCACGACGCTGAGATAAGGAGCAGTTCGGGTTCGGCAGGGGCTCGCTGTTCCGTAGGTCCTTCCATGGTTGTTCCTCTAGCGCTCCTCTTGCACCCAGGCGCTTCTGGGGTCCCAGAGTAGCTTCGTTCTGTATTTGGCGCGTTCCTTCTGGTATTAGCTTGATTGTAGCGTGATGCTATGGACAATGAAACGCTATTTAGCGGCCTTCAGCGCATGGGCTGCACCTTCTGCTGCACGGCCGGCGCGGGCCGTCGCTTTCGGTCGTTCGCCCGCCCTTTGCTGCCCCCTCCGCCTCGGCCTCTTCGCCCCCTGCGGCTCTTGGCCTGCGGCGGCCTCCTCACCGGCCTGGGGCCTGCTGACCTATCGGTCGCCCCCCACCGTGCGGGTGCTCTCCCCGACGGTCCCCAAGCGGGACCCGGCACGCTCGTGGCTGGACGCTTCCATGGTGCGCTCCGGGGCCGTCGGTCGTCTCGAGCGGTCCCTACCCGGTGTGCGCGCGTCCCCCAGCATCCCCCGCTTCGTGGAACGCGGACTCGACGTCAGTCTTCGACGGTGTCTGGCGATCCGGACCTTGGTCCGTAAAGCGTCTGCGCGTGAGTTGGTCGACGCCTCGCGGCGCGTGGGATACGCCCGCTACCCGTGTGACGATGCGACCGCTGGTCCTGGCGCCTGCTCTTTGTGGTGCGTCTACGAGCCGGTGATCACTGACTTCTGGCACGCTCGCGGTGTCGCCCAACCAGAATTCCCCGCCATTTTGGCGTTGCACCCTGGCTGGCGGCTACCCCTCCCAGTCGACGGCGCCCTCCTCTGAGCAGCAGCGAGGCCCGCCTCTTGTTTGTTCCTCCCCCGCTGTCCTCTCGTTGCCTCCCTCCTCCCCCCTTTTGTTGCGCAGTTTAGATCGTATCCCGCTAGCTGCGACTCTCGGACGGCGGCCAGCGTTCCCAGTGCGCTTGCGATCAGAAAATAATCCCACCAGCCCATCTGGAAACGATGCCCAGGCGAGTTGCCTTCGTCGCCGCAGGAGGAGGAGGAGGGGGAGGAGGGGGAGGACGAGAAGGGAAGAGAAGGGGGAAAGGGGATGAGCGAGGATGAGGAGCAGACGGAGGAGGAGGAAAAGTCGGAGTCGGAGGAGGAGGAGGAGGAGGAGAAGTCGGAGGAGGAGGAGGAGGAGGAGGGAGAGGAGGGAGAGGGGGAGGGGGAGGGGGAGGAGGAGGAGGAGGAGGAGGAGGAGGAAGAGGAAGAGGAATAATAATAGTATCAACATTTATATGAATCAGCACTACTACTAGCAATGCTACTATTATTTGTTTGAATATTCTCACCGATGGTATTTTCAAGGCTAAAGCTGTTACTACTCATAATAAGAGTAAGAACGCATACTACGATGACGAGTCATACTTTTTTACGTGGAAGTAACACTCGTAAGACAAGTCGTGGTACCATGAGTACTGATACTAATGGTACTAGTATAATTGATAAGAGTCAGAACACGTAGTTATAATAAGACGCATCGTCATAATACTAGTAAGACTCATTGTACGAATTAGAATAATGAGGTAATGAGGAAAGGAGGAGGAGGAGGAGGAGGAGGAGGAGGAGGAGGAGGAGGAGGAGGAGGAGGAGGAGGAGGAGGCGGATGGCGAGCAAAATGGCCAGAGGCCTCTTGGATGTTTCTCGGAGTCTCTTAGGATGTTTCTGGGATGTTTTTCGGAGTCTTCTTGGAGCGTCTTTGGGGCCCTTTTGGTGGTCCTTGGGGCCTCTTAGGGCGTCTTGGGTGCCTCGGGAGAGCATCTTGATGCCTCTTTGGGGTTTCTTGGGAGCCTCTTGGGTACCTCTTGAAGGCCTCTCGGGGCCTCCTGGGAGTACCTTGGGGCCCTCTGGGGCCCCCTTGGGAGCCTCGGGGGCCAGCTTGGGGCCATCTTGGTGGAGATCGATCCAAGCAGGGGCGGGGGGGCTCAACTAGGCGAAATGGGCCAAACACCTCAGTGAGCTCAATGATTTTCCTCATCGCCGAGGCCATCTTGGACGGTTCAATGGGTCGCGAACCTGGCCGCCCAGGTCCAGGTAAACCCTCCCCGACGGGGAAGAATGAAGATGGAAGCGGAAATTAGCGAAACCACTCACGCCGTCAAGGGCTGGTGGGATTCCCAGCTGTTGGGGGTCCTGGGGCCACCTCTCAGGGGGGCAACGCGGGGGCATATTCCCAAGGATGCCCCGACCGAGGCCGCTCGCGAGCCTTTTTCTAGGCGCCCGCTGGGCCTTCCTTCCGAGGGCTCCTCTTGGGGGCCGCGTCGTGGAGCTGGGCCCGCTCGGAGGCCTCGGAAGTCCCCCGCGCACGCGTCTTTGGGTTTGGGGACGGGCCAGAACACGCCGCAACGACGACGACGACGGACGAAGACGACGACGACGGACGACGAGGACGACGACGGACGACGAGGACAACGACGACGACGACGACGGACGAAGACGGCGACGACGCACGACGACGACGACCACGGACAACGACGACGACAACGGACGACGACGCACGTCGACGACGAGGACGACGGACGACGACGACGGACGGACGACGACGACGGACGACGACGTCGACGACGACGATCATGACGACGACGACGGACGACGACGACGGACGACGACGACGGTCCAGGTAAACCCCTCCCCGACGAAGACGACGTTGACGACGGCGACGGACGAAGATGACGACGACGGACGACCAGGACGGCGACGGACGACGAGGACAACGACGACGACGACGACGGACGAAGACGGCGACGACGCACGACGACGACGACCACGGACAACGACGACGACAACGGACGACGACGCACGTCGACGACGAGGACGACGGACGACGACGACGGACGGACGACGACGACGGACGACGACGTCGACGACGACGATCATGACGACGACGACGATCACGGACGAAGACGACAACGGACGACGACGACGGATGACGAGGACGACGGACGTCGACGACGAAGACGACGTCGATGGACACGGAGGATTGCGACGAAGAGGACGACGACGACGTCGACGACTACAGACGAAGACGACGACGACGGACGACGAGGATGACGACTGACGAAGACGACGGCGGACGACGAGGATGACGACGGACGACGACGACGACCACGACGGACGACGACGACGCCGGACGACGACGACGTCGACAACGACGCAGACGACGTCGACGTCGACGACGTCGACGACGGACGACGACGACGACGACGGACGAAGACGACGGACGACGACGTCGAAGACGAACGACGTCGACGAAAAACGACGACGACGACAACGGATAACGACGACGGACGACGACGACGACGACGGACGACGACGACGAAGACGACGACAACGGATAACGACGACGGATGACAAAGGGGAGGACGACGACGACGAGGACGTCCACGGACGAAGACGACGACGCGAGGACGACGACGGACGAAGACGACGACGGACGACGAGGACGACGACAAATCACGACGACGAGGACGACGATGGTCGACAACGGATGACGACGACGACGACGGACGAAGACGACGACGCCGGACGACGAGGACGACGACGAACGACGAGGACAGCGACGACGACACCGACGGACGACGCACGTCGACGACAGACGACGATGACGACGACGGACGCCGAGGACGACGACTACGACGACGACGACGACTACGACGGACGACGACGACGACGGACGACGACGACGACGGACGACGACGACGAAGGAAGACGACGACGACGTCGGCGACGACGACGACGGATGACGACGACGACGACGACGACGGACGACGACGACGACGGACGAAGACGACGACGACGGACGACGAGGACGACGGACGCCGAGGACAACGACGACGACCACGACGGACGAAGATGTCGACGACCGACGACCAGGACGACGACGGACGACGAGGACGACGACGACGACGACGACGGACGACGACGACGACGGACGAACGACGACGGACGACGACGACGACGGACGACGACGTCGACGACGACGACGACGAGAGCGACGACCACGACGGACGACGACGACGATGACGGACGACGACCACGGACGACGGACGACGTCGACGACGACGCAGTCGACGACGACGCAGACGACGACGACGTCGACGGACGACGACGACGACGTCGACGACGACGGACGAAGGCGACGACGACGGACGGCGACGGACGACGACGACGACGACGACGGACGGGGAGGACGACCACGGACGACGAGGCCAACGACGTCGACGACGACGACGGACAAAGACGACGACGACGGACGTCGAGGACGATGGCGACGACGGCGACGACGACGGACGACGACGACGACGACGGACGGTCGACGACGACGATGGACGACGGACGGACGGTCGACGACGACGACGACGACGACGGACGACGACGACGGACGACGTCGGCGACGACGACGGACGGCGACGACGACGACTACAACAGCGACGGCGACGACGACGACAGACGACGACGACAGACTACGTCGATGACGACGACGACGTCGAGGACGAGGACGAGGACGAGGACGACGACGACGAAGGACGACGACGACGCACGTCGACGACGTCGACGGACGACGGACGACGGACGACGACGTCGTCGACGAGGACGACCGACGACGACGACGACGGACGATTGACGACGACCACGATGACGGTCGACGACGACGACGACGATGACGGACGAGGACGAGGACGAGGACGAGGACGACGACGCGGACGACGACGAGGATGACGACGACGACGGATGACGACGACGTCGACCACGACGACGACGACGACGACGACGACGGCGGCGGCGACGGACGACGTACGACGTGCGACGGACGCTTGACGACGAAGACGACGAGGGACGATGACGACGACGACTACGACGGACGACGACGACGACGACGGACGACGACGGACGACGACGACGATGGCGACGGCCACGACGGCCACGACGACGACTACGTCGGACGACGACGACGTCGGACGAGGACTAGGACGAGGACGACGACGAGGACGAGGTAGACGACGACGACGTCGGCGACGACGACGACGGACGACGACGACGACCACGACGACGACGGACGACGACTACGACGACGACGACGACTAAGACGATCAAACGACCTCGACGACGGCGACGACGGACGAGGACGAGGGCGAGGACGAGGACGAGGACGACGAGGACGACGGCCACGACGACGACCACGACGACGTCGACGACGACGCCGGACGACGACGACGACGACGACGACGGCGACGACTGACGACGAGGACGACGACGACGACGACGAGGACGAGGACGAGGACGACGACGACGACGGCAACGACGGACGACGACGACGGACGACGACGACAACGACCACGACGACGAGGACAATGACGACGACGACGACGACGACGACCGCGGACGACCACGACGACAGACGACGACGACCACGACGACCATGGACGACGACGACGTCGGAGGATGACGACGAGGACGACGGACGACGACGACGACGAGGACGACGACGACAGACGAGATCCAGGACGACGACAACGTCCACGACGACGATGAACGCGGACGAGGACGAGGACGAGGACGACGATGACGAGAACGAGGACGAGGACAAGGATGAGGACGACGACGACGACAGACGAGGACGAGCACGACGATGATGACGACGACGACGGACGACGACGACGACGACGATGACGACGACGAAGACGACGGGCGACGACGGTGACCTCGACGACGAGGACGACGAGGACGAGGACGAGGACGAGGACGAGGACGACGAGGACGACGGCGACGACGACGGACGACGGCGACGACGACGGACGACGACGACGACGACGGACGACGACGGCGATGACGACGCACGACGGTGAGGACGTCGACGACGGACGACGGACGACGCCTTCGACGGACGAAGACGAGGTCGAGGACGAGGACGAGGACGAGGACGAAGACGAGGACGAGAGCGAGGACGAGGACGAGGATAAGGACGAGGGCGACGACGACGAGGACGACGGACGACGAGGACGACGACGACGTCGACGACGACGACGACGACGGTGACGGACGACGGACGACGACGACGACGGACCGCGACGACGACGACGACGACGGTCGACGACGACGGATGACGACGACGAAGTCGACGACGACGGACGACGACGACGATGATATGCTTCCGTGAATTCTTCTTGAGGTCCTTGAGGCCAGACGAGGGCCAGTACGGAGGCCGTCGTCGTCTATTTTGGGCCATCTTGAATTGGCGACCATTTGCGGCCACTTTGAAGGTTGCCAGTTCCTGGTGGGTAGCTTGGGGAGGTTCTCAGAAACCAGGCAGGGCCTTGATTAGCTCCTGGGATCGCCCCCCTCGCCCCCATCACTCAATCTGGATTTCGTGATTTCCTGAAGGGTGAACATGGGGAGGGGGACAGACAATAATCGCACTCGTCTTCTCACCTCCAGCAGGCCGGGGTCGGTGGATTCGGTTGTGCATGCGTACTTGGCCAACGAAACACTCGTGTCTTCCATGGGAGAGCGCGCGGATTGCGAAATACCATGGCGACGTCGGTGGTACTCCTTTAGCCGCTCTGGGCCCTCAGCCACTTCTCTAACAAACACGCTCGGAGTACCTGACTTGTTCGGACCCCCTCGTCGCCTCTTGCTTGCGCCAGCTGCCGCGAGAACATCATCTAGACGACTCTCCCCCATCCAGTTTGCCGCCCCCTGGCGGATCTCTTGTCTTGTGCGACGCGCGGAAGCTAGCCAGGGAGGGTCAGGTGGATCGTGAAAGCACGGTGTCCATCATCCAGCTGGAGAGGCGCCAGTGATGCACCCGTCGCGCTCGGGGGCCGCGCAATCTGAGCTCAGGATCGCGCTGTGCCGTCACAGTCCTTGGAGCTCGGGCTTCGGAATCTCCTCTTGCCTCGCCGATGCGCGCACGCGCCTCAGAGCAGGAGAGAGCTTCCCCACCTCCACATCCCACCGAGTCCTGGAGCAGCGGGGCTGCGGTTGTGGTCCTGCCGGCAGGGGAGGACGCGCGCAGCGGTGATTCCGCCAGGGCCCATCGTGTGGGTCTTGTTTTCGGTTCGTGTTGCCTCTCTTGGGCCCCTTTTGGGGCCGTCTTGGGGCCCTCTTGGGCCGTCTTGGAGCGTCGGGAAAACGAACAGGCGAGAACGCCAACATGCTTCAAAAACCGACGGGAAATGAATGATTTTGGCCTTTTGGGGCCTTCTCGGGAGGCCTCTTCGAGGCCTCTTGGGGCGTCTTGGGGGCCTCGTGGGCCGTTGTGAGGCCATCTTGGGCGTCTTGGGCCGATCTTTGGGCGCCTCGGGGCCCTCTCGGGCCGTCTTGGAGGCCGCTTGGGGCCCTCCTTGGCCCATCCTTGGGGCCCTCTCCTGGCCTTGGAGCAGTCCTGCGAGAACACCTTCCCGGAGCCCAGGGGGCACGCGCCAAGCTCCACCAATGTTCGGAAGTCGGGGTCCGGGCCCCCCAAAGACCCCTCAGGACTGAGGACTGAGACCCCAGGGATTGATTAGGCAAAGGACCTGAGGACACGCCCACTCGGTGCCCAGGGGCGCGGGGGTGGATATATATATATATATATATATATATATATCTATATATATATATGTATATATGTATATATATATGTATAGATGTATATATATATATATATATATGTATGTATATATATAATGACTTTCTGGTGGTCTACGCCACAGTTGCCCGGCCCGTTCGTTTGTTGCATGGTAACGTGTGTAGAGCTGTAGCGACGGCGATCGTATAGAAATGCACATCCGTATTTCACACTTTCGTGTGGCATTGAATGTACGTCCTCTTCGTTCCGTCTTGGGCCCATCTTTGGCTTCTTTTCGGCACGATTGGGCCGTCTTCGGAATTCCTCGGGACCATCCGAAGGCGAGAGGCGCGGGATGACCCGTCTGACTGTTTTGCGAGCGCCTTCGGATGGGCAGGTATGGCTGATCCCCCCAGTCCGGTTTCCACATTCAATTCTCGATCGAAGCGTGTCCTCCCGCCTACCCCCGCTCCACTTGCTCCCTTTATCCCTCCTCCATCCTGCCATTCTCCCCCCTTCCCAATTGGATTTCGATTTTAGTTTCAGTTTCGATGCAGCGCGTTCGAGCCCGATTCAGGTCCAAGGCGGCCAGCAGATTTCGGATTCGAGTCCGATCTGGTGCGAGCGATTCCTATTCTCTCCCCTCAGGCTCTCTTCGGCGGCGAGCCTGGGAGGAAGTGAGAAGGAGAAGGCCTTCTCAGAAGGCTCGGAAGTCCCCTGGCCTTCGAGAAGTTTCCTGAGCCTTCCCCGAGGACGCAGGAAGCCTCTCAGAACGCGCCGAGGGCTTCTAAGAAACCTCGCCGCCTTCAGAAAGGGCCCTCTCCTGACTTCCCCCCTCGTTCGCCGCCGATCTCTGCCGACACGATGCCAACACTGTGATCCGAACAGGGGTAGCGCTGCCCTCCCTCCCCTCGTGATGAACCTGCGCCTCCTCCGTCTCCTGGACCTCCCCCCCGCCTCCCCACTTCTCCATACTCCATCCTCCCCAGCTTCCTCTGTCTTCGATCCTCCCTCCCGCTGCTCTCTTCTCTCTTCTCCCTCATCCCTAACACGATGTTGCCTGCAGGTTCGTGTGGTGTTGCTGCGATCGTTGACGAGCAGGTTGCTCGAGTGGACGTGCCAATCGCTAGGAACCTTCAGACTGGCAGCGAAGTGTCTGCCCGAAGTGCCAGTCCCTGTCAGGGGCACGAGCAATGGGAGGTGCATCCCAAGCGTACGTCCTCCTAGTTCTCAACTGCGAGAGCTGGCAATCGCAGCACGGCGGCCCATGGTGGCTGCGTCGTTGCAGAAGGAGCGCGGCACGCCTGCGCGTCGGCACCCCGGGGCGGCTTGGTGGGGGCACGGCGGAGCGGCACAGGGCGCTGGCAGGGCGGCCTGCACAGTAGCGACTCCGCAGGATGAGGTCGGTCCTGGTGAAACATGCGGAAGCCCCTGCAGTGGTTCCAGGCTCGATAACTTGAGGCACCTTTGTCGATTCGTCTGCCGTCCGGGAGAGCTTCCGCCAGCGAGCTTCGGTGAACCGTCGACGAGTGGTTCTTCAAGCATATAGCCTTAGGAAACGCAAGCCCGAAGCAGGAAAGTGGGCAGTTCTCGAAGCGGTGCAAGGATTGTCTCTCGAAGAAGTTGATCGACGCCTCGATGGCTGGAAAAGGCAGACGGAGGGGTGGCTCCTGACGCGGAAGGCTGCTTCTCGTTTCTCGGTAGGCGTTTGGAGGAGGATGATGGACGAGTGTCCAGCTGAGGACGAGGATGACGAGAAAGAGGAGAAACATGAGCTGGGGAGCATCGTCCGGAGCAGCCTGTCTAGGCTCAAGGAGGCCCCGAGGCGTGCCCGGACGAGGCACAGCCGCTGCCGCCCTCCGTCTGCGCGGCAACAGCGCGCCTGGCAGGACCGTTCCCTCTTTTCTGTTGTCGGCAAGTTGCTGTATGTGCAAATGCCTTATTTCTGCTTCTCCTTTTCTCCCCTTTCGCTATCTCGGCCTAGGTATTGATTGGTCTGGCGTAATTGACAAGCTGGTCTGGCATGAGGATCTAGAAACATCTGGAGGAAAGCCTCATCGTCATAGTCTCTATCGTGCGGGTTCAGGGTGTGGGCTCCTTGATGCTTTCTCCCCGTTGCCAGTGCGGGGCGTGGCGTGGACGGGGCGGAGCTTTATCACTGGTGTTAAGTCGGGCAAGTCCCTCTACAGGAGGAGTATTCAAAAACATCACAAAACAGTCTGGGGACTGATTCTCTAGCATTTTATAGTATTATCGATTTTTTTTTGTGTGACGATTTTTGGATTTTTGCCAAAGATCCGCTTGGAGGAGGACATGCCCGACCTAACACTGGTGGGGAGGCTTCCTTCTCTTGTGGTGGTCATGCTGGAGCCTTGTGCCGTCTCATTGCCTCCGTGGTCGCGTTGGGGCCCCTCTGTGGGTGCTGTCTGCTGGGCAACCAGTCGGTTGCTCTTGCGCGGTCTTGGGTCCATCTAGTGGTCGTCTGGGGCTGAACATGGAATTCCAAGTCATTCTCAGTCATTTTTGCACGCTTTTGTAAACTCCATCGGGTTTCTCGCATCACGTGTGGGTGCTCAAGAATCTGAAGCGATCCAGTAAACAATTATTTGCAAGACGACTGCTTTCATTGAGCCGCATTCCCATGATTAGGCTTGGCTCTACTCTCCTTTCCAGCCTCACTGCCACCCCTTCCGCCTGTCTCCTTTCTGCCGTTCCTTCGTCGTCTGTCTCTTTCTCTCTCTCTCTCCATCTCTGCGTCCATCGTCGTCCTCGTCCTCTTCCTCGCCTCCGTCCTACCCTGCGGCCGCCTTCACTCCTTCGCAGAGGTCTGGCGCTCACTTTTCGAAGCATGGGCTCTCGGACCTCTCGACTCTTCCCCTGATGTTGTTTGTTCGTCGTCCCGAGCCGTTCCTTGACAGTCCCGGAGGCCCGAAGCGGCGAAATACAGGGCCGCCTCGATTTCTGTTTGAGTCGCCGGGTCTCTGGGCCCCTCCTCTGATTATCCCCAGCCCTTCGAGGACTTGTTTCTTATGGTTTGTTGTTGTTGCTGTTGTTAATGTTGTTGTTGTTGTTGTTGTCGTCGTCGTCGTCGTCGTCGTCGTCGTCGTCGTTGTTGTTGTTGTTGTTGTTGTTGTTGCTGTTGCTGCTGCTGCTGCTGCTGCTGTTGTTGTTGTTGTTGTTGTTGTTTTTGTTGTTGTTGTTGCTGTTGTTGTTGTTATTGTTGCTGCTACTGCTGCTGCTGATGTTGTTGTGGTTGTTGTTGTGGTTGTTGTTGTTGTTGTTGTTGTTGTCGTTGTTGTTGTTGTTGTTGCTGCTGCTGCTGTTGTTGTTGTTATTGTTGCTGTTGTTGTTATTGTTGCTGCTACTGCTGCTGCTGTTGTTGTTGTGGTTGTTGTTGTGGTTGTTGGTGTTGTTGTTGCTGTTGTTGTTGTTGTTGTTGTTGTTATTGGTGCTGTTATTGGTGTTGTCGTTGTTGTTGTTGTTGTTGTTGTTGTTGTTGTTGTTGAACATTATTTCTTCTTAAGAATAATTATTGTTGGGACCCCTGGTGCGCGACCCCACCGCCGCGCCTAGGCCGCAGCCTCATTTTCATAATTTTCGTGAGGAAGTCTCAGGCAAAACGGGTTGGTCCGGATCCGGTTGTGTTGTTACGATCGGTTTTCCCTTGCAAGAAATAAGCTAAAGTGGACATTTCTTGTTCTAACATAACCAAACTTCAAGAATCCCTTGCAAAAAATAAGGTAAAGTGGACATTCGCGCGCGCAAGACGAAATCCTTCCAAAACCTTAGTTTTCGTAGCGATTTTAACATAAAAACATCAAAAAACCAATGGTTTTTCAAAAAAATTGTCAAAATTTCATCCCGCGCGCTCTTGCGGATTCGTAGGAAACCCAACACTTTTTAATCATTTCTGTCAAACGGGCTTTTGCGAGCAACTTTTTCGAACTTCTGCAACAACGGTTGCGCACCTGCCAGGGCCATCATCCCTGTCAAATAATACCATGCGGGACACATTCGTTTTTTCTTCGCGCGCGCACGCCGTCGTCGTCGGCCGCGGGGCCCTGAATAGTAGCCACGGTCGTCCGCATGCCACAAAGTGAAGTGTCCGAACGTCATAGGGCGGGAAGCTGGGTGTGGGTGGTGGCGAAGAGTCGTTTGGAAATTTGGTAGAGCTTGAACCGGCCCCCCCACAAAGTGGGGGTATTGCCCGCCTCCTATGAAAACCCTGGCACTGGTGAGAACGGTGTGTCCCCACGTGCTAGTAATTGTTGTTGTTGTTGTTGTTGTTGTTGATTGTTGTTGTGGTTGTTGTTGTTGTTGTTGTTATTGTTGCTGCTACTGCTGCTGCTGTTGTTGTTGTGGTTGTTGTTGTGGTTGTTGT